GATGGCATCCAAAGATTATAAGTGTTATCTGCCAAAAAATTCCGGGGGCAGGTTGATGGATGTGGGAAAACTGCCCACATCTGTGACAATGGAAAAGATGAATATGCAGTAACTGAATTTGAAAATATAGTATGTGAATGTTTACACTGTAGTAAAAACAAAACAAACCCACCAAGAGGGAAAAGTGAGTCAAATTATATTCTCAGTTATACACATGTAATCTTATAGACTTTGCCTGGTTTGTACAGATATTAATGAATGTGAGTTTCATAAACTTAAATGTGTCAATAGTTTTGTAACTTTTCCATTTGTTTTGGTTTCTTTGTATTGCTTGCAGAATACTCTCCAAAGGCCAAAACCACTTCTCAGATTGTTCCATTCTGTTATTTTCCCCTGGGTTCTGTCTAAATGTAGCTGAACATTAATATGGTTGCTTTTGTATGACATTTTCCTCAGCCAATATAACATATTGCTCAATTATCATTCTTTACACACCACTAATGATGCTAGCATATCTCTGGGAATTGGGGGTGAAATTCTGCCTGAAATCCTTAATCACACAGATATTCATGTAGGCCAGTGAGAACAGGTGCCTTTTACTCCTGTTCTAACAGTCCTTGTGGTCTAGATAGAGTCAAAACCCATCCTTTCCCAGACATTTTATTAATACATGATAAGGCCAAGTCTGTTTCAAATGGGATGACCCATGGGTTTAGTGGGTATACAAACTGGGAATATGGGCCTGTATAAGTGGAGTTGGTGGAAGATATGGGAGGGGGAAACCAACCTTCTCTCCATCCTTTCTGTCCTAATGTTAATTTATGGCCATTCAATGCACCTACTAAATCTTTCTATCTTCAACCCAGGATTTCCTGTTCTAAAGCCTGCTGCCTGACTTTGTATTCCCTTCATCCATAAAGGAATACATTTTGTTATTAGGGATGTGTATATTTACTTGTTGGTGTGAGGATGATGAGTACATTTTGTTATTATTGCAGAAATGAATTTAAGGCATGCTTTGTGTTCATCAAAATAAAATCTATTCAAATCATATGCTTGTTTATCTGAAATGTCCTCAGTTGTATTATATTATTATTATATTGTAATAGCTATATTCTTTTTAAAATTTCTAATGGAAATTCGCCCTAGGATCTTAAAGTCAATCTAGGCTTTTTCTGCTTCATGCAACATCACCAGTAATACAGTTCCTGCACCTGGAAATAAGGTGACAAACAATTCCGCTGAGGAGGCTCAAATCAGAAAAGAACGCATCTTGCTCACTCTTGTTTCTGCTGCCTGTATACTAGCAACTGGTGTGTAAAAATGGAATAAACCAGATATGATTTTGAATTTACATAGGGAACTGGTCTGTCGAAAAGAAAATAACATTTTTGCATCTGACTATTTTGACATTAGCACTTCAAATATTTTTTAAAGTAATTTTAATTTTATGTAAACCTTTCAAAATGTGTTTTCCAAAGCCATTAACAATAATGAAAGCACTTTAGGAAAACAGAGAAGTATTATAATAAACTGCTATTTAATATAAAAGTAGAATTTAATTCAGAGACTACGTCCATCAATATTTTAGTGAATAAATAAAAAAACTAGTAACGAAAAGAATATAAAATTCAGTCTCACATTCAGAATTCTATTTAACTAATGTGTGATGAACAAGGGAGAAGTTGCTTAGGGTGATATCTGCATAAGGGGGAGTTGGTGATCATTTCAGTACAAAATTTATTGAAAGACAATAAATGAAAAGAAAAACTAATAAAACTGTAGTGACAGTGGGGTCTGTGATAGACACAAACATTCTAGAAGTTTTTAATTGCGTTAGAATTAAATGTGCAACCTTTCACCATTTTAAGAGATTTATATTTTTAAAATGATCAGGGCAATATCAAAGACATAAAAGCATCTGACTCCCACTCAATCCAATTATGTGTGCTCAAATGGTTGCCCAGGATCCTTTTGTGGTAATTGCTGCGTATCTCCTCTTGACAGTGGTGGAATCTCTTTCTGAGGTTCTTTATTTCTTAACCAAAAAAGACAGTAAAGTCATGGAGTTTTATTTAGATATGTAAAACAAGAGACACCCATCTGACACTCTAGGCTGCTCTAGCAATTAATTTAAAATGCTATCTATGTTCTCTGCATAGTGGGCCTTGTCTACACTGGCGTGTTTTGTCACCAAAACCTGTCTATTAGTGACAAAATAGTGAGAGCATTTACTCTACAATGAAACTTGGGTTGCAAAAAATATCCAGTTTTGGAGATAAAAAACATCCAGCCCTGCAAGAGAGTTTTGACTTTTCCTCTCGCTTGATTGTCAACAAGAGCCAGTATGGACTTTGCTGTTTGTTTTATTGAGAGATCTGGCTCCCGCTCGTATCCCACAATGCATGCCCTAATGGTTGTGCTAAGTATTTTGTGGTCTCTGCTGCCAGGCAGGGATGCACCCCTCCCTTTCCAAAGCTCATGGAAGTATCTGATAACTGAGTGAGCTGCTCCCTTTGGGGAACAAACAAAAAACAAATAATTGGAATGCTCCTGATGCAGGGGTGGGATTGGAGAGACTCCAGTGCTGCTTTGACATTCTTTAGCCCAGAGAGCTCATAGAGCTAGAAGGGAATCCTAAGATCTGCAGGGATCAGCTCTGCCTTCCCACAACACTTCACTCTGGAATACTTACCCACATTGCTTTACTCTAGCTGTCAAAAGGGAAGCTAGCAATGTGGAAGTTGCCAGTTTGACCGGTTTTCACTTTTGGTGACTTTTGCTTATCGACAGCATTAGTGTCGCCAAACCTTCCCACTGTAGACATAGCCTCAGTCACACCCTGTCTATCAGCAAGGATTACTGTAGACATAATACTTCATGGAAAAGCAGAACTGCTGCAGTACAATCTCCCTTGCCTGGTTACTCAAAGATGAGTGAGCAGCCTCAGCAGGCGATCTAAGGAACCTGCAAAGCTCTGATTCTGAGCGACTGGTGAACAGCCTTTCCCTTAAGTTAAAATAATAAGCATGTAAAAGAAGCACCTGAAAAATACTGTATGAATCTGATTAAATGCATCAAAGGGCATGGGAGCCAGTGGTCGGAGACTTCCCCTGGTCTGACAAATTCTCTCATTTGGGACAGGTGAGGTCCCAATGGTGCTGGCCTAGACACGTCCAACTACAAATTCTACAAGTTCTCCTACATACGGTCTCTATAAGAGCCCTCCCCATGCATTTCAGGAACCATCAATAGCTGTTTGACAAAATAAACATATAATAGTTTACTAACAGGAATAACCTATTTTTTAAAGAAACTTTAAAAAACTTTAAAAAAACGGTTATGTAGACATAAATATTCCCTCTTTCATAATGTTTCTCTCATTATACAATGACATTTCATTCTTCCACACTCAAAATTCCTTTGGACTTTGGAGTCAAGCCTGCAGTTAAATGCTTCAGGATCATTCCTCTAATATTAGAGTCTAATAACTAAAGGCCAGATTTGGGCAGCTTTAGTCACACTAAGTAGCACCCTACTTCAGGAGTAGCCCTTTGAATCCATGTCGTAAGATACTACTCAATGTGAGTAAAGAGCAGTAGACGCAAGTTCACAGGAGAGATTTCCGAACATTAAGTTTCATGGATTGAAGAGATGAAATGGGTTGTTGGGTACAATGGGATAAAAAGGGTCACTGTGACTCTTGCAGGCAAACAGGAAAGTGTACAGTCTGACATATGTTCCATCAAACACTCACATGGCCCCACATACATTCATGTTTGACATGAACACACTGACTGCACTAGTGACAGCTGTTTCAAAGAAGTGTGGCCAGAGGCAGGCAGTGACTTTTACATTCACAACTACTGAAGCTACTATTTCGGTTACCTGCTTGCCTTGCCTGATAGAAGCCACTTTGTAAATTCACCTCAGGCAAATAGGGAAAAATAAGTAATGCGCTCCTCTGAGAATCCCAGTCAGTTCAGCTCCTGCCACCTTTAGTTTAGCACTTTGGTGAACATACTCTTTTACAAGGCTGGCCATTTGTTCATGGCCTGAGGGCAATTTAGTTGTAGATGTTGTTGGTATGAAAAAAGGCTGTGTTGAGCAGAAATCTTCCCACATAGGGATCTGTAGGCCAACTTTAACAAAAGAAAAGGCAATGCTTTTGAACCTAAGAACCCCACTACCTCAAGAATACCTCAAACAAAGTAAAAGAAGGTCAATGTGAACAGAAATCCAGAGCTTTTTATATGACTACTCTCAACAAAATCTTCAACCTTATTTTTCATGCCCGTCCACACACTTATAACTTGTCCAACACTGATCTGTGTAATATCTGAAAGACAATGGAACTGTTTGTGCAAAACAGCGCACCATATCCATGCATTTCTGTGATATTCACTATTCTCTGTTGCAGCATGCTTGCTTCAGGAAAACTAACACATTTAGTAATTAACAGAAGTTCATTAGGTTCAATGGATTCATTAATCTTTTTGAAAAATGCAACCTAAATACCAAATGAATCAGTATTCAGAAACCAAAGCTGTTTAAGATTTATAACCCTTTGGATTACATTTTTTCTATATAAGTAAGCCTAAAACAAAAACAAAAAAACAGCAAACATGTGGGCTTGGGACTTTTATGTGTAGGTTTATTTTGATCTAGAATTTTGGTTTGTCCATTATTCAGTTTGAGTCTAGGGCATTTGGCTTAAGGCTCACATGTCAAACACAGTGAAAGTTCAGGGTTGTCTGGGTCTGAGGTTTTGGTGTGGGTCCCTCTCTTGCCACTAAAGCTAATTACAGGTGGAACAGGGAGCACAGCCTATTATTAAAGCTGTCTGAAACTTTTCAGTTGCTTCTAACTTTGTCAAATAGTTAACAAATACAGCTGCAGTACTCCATGTCAGGTATCTACCTCAGTCTGAATTTTTCAGTTGATTCTGGGAATGTGATTATTTTGTCTATTTTAAAAGCTGTGTGTCTTTACTTTGAAAGCTCTGTATTTGGCACTGGTGTGACCACTGCTGGACTACTGAGGGTAAATAGCCCACAACTCAAGAAGGATGCTGAGAAACTGGAGCAGGCTCAGAGAAGAGCCACAAGAATGCCTAAAAGGTGAGAAAACATGCCTTATAGAGAAGATACTCCACAGGGAAGGTATATAGAGACTAGGTAAATAGTTTGGGAAAGGAGGTGTTCATTAAAGGAACAGAATGGGAGGTGAGGGAGTGGGGACTCCTATGATTGGTACAGCAGGAAGCCACCCCCCTTTCTTACAGCTAATCTTAACTCTCCTGTGGAGCAGTAGACGGTATCCCAGCAATGGATTCGCTGGGGGACCAGGATGGAAAGAGAGTGGGAGCTGCTAGAAGTTCCCACATCATTATGAAATGCACAGGCCATAGAATTTAGTTAAGTTAATGCTTATTACGTCCACTGGCATGTAGGGCAGCAATGAACAGGGCTCGCCGAACCGCGGTGAGCCCCGCTCACCAGCCACACTGTCCGGCGATCTGCGCATGCACAGATTGTTCTGTGCATGGGCAGATCGCCCAAACCTGGCTCTTCTGGGTTGAAATCTACTCGCCACGAGCAAGTAGATTGCATTATTTGTCGAGCCCTGGCAATGAAGATTCTCCATTTTTGTTTATCTTTGGCCATTTTCTCCAGTGTGTCCCAGTTGTAGTTCATTCTCTTCATATCTGCCTCAACAGTATGCCGCCATGTTGTCTTTGGCCTCCCACGTTTCTGTCATCCTTCAGGCATCCAGTGAAGTGCTACCTTTACAATGGCATCTGCCTCCCTTCTCATCATATGCCCTATCCATAGAATTTACCCCCAAATTATTTCTAAAGCAGATCTTTTATCTGCCAGCTAGTTCCAGACATTTAATAATAAAATTGTGGACTCATTAAATTCATGTTTAATGTCTCCTGTCCTCCTCTTGGTATAGTTGGACAATGGTTATCATGTGGAAAAGAGTGTTCTGCACTCATTGCAAAAAGGTAAACACTGAGAAGGGCTGAGTTATGTTTTTGCAAAATTTTCAAGTGCAACATTCATTTGTTAGTGATAATAGATTGTCAATATGAGAGGGTATGAAATTAGTTGAATATGGAAACAATAAAAAGTAAAAAATCCTAATGATACCACCTTCTTCTGTCCTCCCGAGTGCATGGTCTAACTGATCTTTTTTTCTCCCTTCACTATCATTGTGTGGCTGTTATTATAATTAAATACCAATTCTCGTGGCATGGAACAGAGGCAATGCCAACAATGCATTTATAGTTATGTGAGCTGTACTAAATGTGCAAAACAGAAAGTGCTTGAAGAAAGAGTAGCATCATCTTGACTTTAGTTTATGTTGTAATGTTCAAATGAAACAGCCTTACCAAACGTCAAACAAGAAGCGAATGGCAGGACTTGGGTGTCCTGAATCCCAATCCAGTATTCTCTCCACAGAGGTAGTCTGCCTGATACCAGTGACACGAATTATATTTAAAGGGCAAGAATAGTCAAGACCATTTTTATTTTCTCTCTCTTTCTAGTACATTTGCTTTCATCTAAACTCCCCAGCTGCACATGCATTTTCAAAATTGCAGACTGTAGAGCAGGGCTACTCAACACGCGGCCCACAGTGCAGTTTGGGTTTATGTGGGGTTCAACATGCAGTTCGCGAGTGGGAGCCAAAAAAAAAAGGAGTCAATATAATGATCTTCTGTTGATATGCGTTTTAGTAGTTAAATTCCTGGTCTGTCATTGCTCATTAAAAGTGCTGTCCTATGGGTGGAAATTGGGCATGTAATACATTTTATTAATATCAGCAGAACTGACTGTGTGTTGTGTAGTTTTACCTTAATCTTTGCATTCATGCCCGATAGTGTGAAAAGCTATTTGCATATATTTCCATATATATTTGCATGTATGTGCAACCACACTTAAATTGCGGCCCTCAGCATGTGCTGTGAGTATCATTGTGCCCCGAGGGCTTCCAAAGTTGAGTAGCCCTGATGTAGAGCATCTACTCAGCTGCTAATGATCGTAACATCCCAGGATGCTTTTCTTCTGAACCATGACATTAGTGGGAATTCCAGTTTTCTGTGTTCCCTAACCTCCCATTTATCAATAATTATTAATAAATTCTCTTCCATTTGTTAATTACTCAAATTTATTTCCTTTATTTTTCTTGTTTAAGAAGATTTAAAAGATGTTTTAACATTCTAAATGGTCTTGATTTCAGATATCGAAAAACAGCTAGGGAACCCAGATGAAAGGTTATAAGAAATAGATATGTTAGAAAATATACCGAATATATTTGAGGACAGGTATGGCACTGTAGTTGGTGGGTGGCAACAATTCAGACATAATGTTATCAAAGATGGCACCATGTCTTGAGCCTTATATTAGATTATATTACCGATTATGAGGTCAGATTGACAACATCTGCACCAAGAAGTACAGTTACAAGTTAGGGAAAGGATTTAGCTAAATATTAGTGCTAATGACTAAATATTTCTAATACAGCTTCAACAAATGGATTTTGTCTCAACATTTTAATGATTTGCAAAATAAATTGAGTTTTTTGTAAAGAAACTGGATCATCAATACAGTACAATCATTTTTGAACAGCTACAATTTACCCTCTTAAGAGATTACCTGCCTTGCCTTGTGGAAAACCAGTGTCCCAGATAAAATCATTTCAATTTGTAAACATGCTTTCTTAGAGTATTTCTCTGCATAGTCCCTCTGATTTCTTTACAGCTCTCATTTACTATTATTTTCTGTCATTGCTAAACTGTTAATTGACACCAAAGTAGTCCCTTTTATTGCTAAAATTAATCATAGCATAATTGGATTATAGGAACATTCACAAGATGTTGTCAGCGGTATGTTGTTTTTACACAGTAGGAAAGATGGTAGTGGGGACAAAATAAAATCACACTTGATTGATTTCAGAACTGTGGAAGTGCACAAAAATGTAGCTAAGCCTTGTCTAAAGTCTCTTTTACAGCACTGAACTAATACAGATTGAACCTCTCTGGTCCGGCACTCTTAGAACCTGACCGGTCCCAATTTGCTGTACCATAGGAGGTCAATGAAGGCCCTTCTTCTTCTTGTAACCAGTCTGGCTCCATTCTGGGCATCCAGACCACTAGGATTCCCTTGCTCAGATGAACTTTTCAGAATATAAAGTTCTATGACTCATCACACAGTTCCAAAAGGGAAAGTTATTTTAATTTTCCTGTGTGCAAGAATCCATATGTTGTCAGAAGTAGAGAAGAAAGCGGGCATGATGAAATTTATTATAAGCCTTTGAATTTATTTGTAACTTGCTGAGGAATGGATGCTTGGGTGACTGGCTATGTTGTGTTTGGGTTTACTTGCATGTAACAGCCCACAGGGAGAAGAGGCCACAAAGAGAAGTTTCCCAGGTTTAAACAACCCTAAATATTGTCACAAGGACACTCATTAACATATGCACTTGTAAGCCAGCTGGCTTTCAGCTCAGTGGGTAGAGGTTCCTATACTCAGCTCCAGAGGTCTCAGGTTCAAATCTGCCTGGTGATGGTTATAAATGGGGGCTCATCTGGGATCTCAACTGGGTCTCAGAAGCTCAGGACATGCTTTCTCACCTTGGGGAAGTATGTAACCCACACATTTAGTGTGGTTACTGAGTACTGCAAGTGGCACCTAGACCACTGCAACAGTTAAGATCAAGAGAGCTCTACAGCATGGGCTGGGAGCCAGCTGCCTTTTAGTTCAGAGGGTAGAGGCTCCTATAGTCAGCTCCCGAGGTCCCAGATAAAATCTGCCTTGGCGGTGGTTACACACTGTTGAAAGAAATGTCCTAGGAAACCTAAGATTGCATTATATAATTTCTGGAAAATAACAGTTGTTATACTTCTGCTTATTAAGAATTTGCTATTAAAATGTGTGCATTATATTTCTGCTTTGAGCGTGTGAGGGGACAGTGAATGAAAGGTCTAGTCAGCACATAAGAATTCAAGTCAAGGAGGAAGCTTTGTAATTGAGGTTTTGCTTTTGGACATTAGATAATTTGATTTCAATATTAAGCTACATAAACAGATTCAAAATACAGATTCAACTTTGGTAAAATTTGTTAGTTTAGATTCATACACAAATGTACAGCTGCCTTCTTAGACTCCTTAAAAATTATGAGGATTCATTATTTCTAGATCCAATTTGAAGACGTACTGCCAATCTAATAATAAGACCAACTTTAGGTTTTATTTGTTTATTTTGATTTCATAGTCAATGTTTTAATTTGAGTTTCATTAGGCATTACCAGTTATATCAAAGTTCTGGTAATATGTTTTCTTGATTTTATTTTAGCTTAAGAATTTTAATAAAATTTGTAAACTAATATCCTGCATTACATCATATTTCTTGAGAGTCTGGGTTGGAAATACCCAATCTGCCCAAAAGTCTGACCACCTCCCCATTCGTATGATTTATCTGTATTATCATAGCATGAAGTGGCTCCTGTCATGGGCCACAACACTGTTGTGCTGGAGTCCCACAGTCAGAATACAATGTAAAACAGTGACACAACATTTTTGTCTCTTAGAAGGACACATTTTTCAACACAATTTCAAAATCTACCTTCTTTCTTTTTAAATATATTGAATTATTTTTCTGTTGGAAGAGGAACACAGCAGTCAGGCCAGGGAAAAAAAAGTCAAAAACTCCTCTCACAAATTACAGCATTAGACCCTGAACCTAAGTCCGCCTAGATACACGTCAGAGACAACTCAATTCCAGTTGCAGGCCATAATTCTATATCATATATAGATCAATGCTCTGTTCAATACTAGCCACATTTTCAGTCCATTGATGTTACTTATTGGTTCTATAGTTCCCATGTTGATTTTGTAAAGCCACATTGTTGCTGTTTTTCATCTCAGCCACAAACTCCAACACCTTTTACAAAATCACTGAGAGAAAAAAGACATTCCTGACATTTAAATAGTCCCACATATTAATGGAACCAGTTTCTTGGGACGTTAGGTTCTAAGGACAGCTAGTATAATGTTAAGAAGCCATCGCAATACCTGCAATGCCCAGCTTTCATCTCTGGATTTAACTGAAGCTGG